ATATTCCTGTATTAGATCTATTACCCTCCTTTTTCATTTCTATATAGAAGCGCTTTCTATCAAATTCCTCAGGATTATAGTATGATTCCTGTTGCAAGTTTTTAAAAATACCCAATTTTCTTTTCATATTTTGATAATTCCATTCGATATCAGGATTTTTGAATGGAGTATCTTTACTTGTGGTTTTAACAACCTTTTAAATGGGTTCTTGGATAGCTACTTGAACAGGTTCTTGGATATCCTCTTGAATAGGCTCTTTAATTGGTATTTGAATAGAAGCTATATTTTTTTGATTTTGTAATAGTTTATATAGATTTTTTCGCTTAAGATGCTCACGAAGTTTTTGAGGTGTTGAGCATTTATGGCCACAACGTTTACAGATTGTATCTTTTTTATCGCTTCTTGTTTTTCTAACCATAGTGTTTTCTCTAACCATCACACTATTACTTAGTTATAAATTTTTTTCTTTAATTAATTAATTATTATATAAGGGGGATAGGGGTATTATGACGAAGAGGGGTATTATGGCGAATTTGTATTATCTTGTGATCCTGTGATCCAAATAGAATAATGTTTTCACCATTCGAATCCTCTCAATGAAAGGATTCGAATGATATAAAAATTGCCTAATTTGGACTACTGGATTACAAAATAAGAAAAGTAGAATGTTAAATTGGATATTATTGGGTATTATAGTGAACCATCAGTTACATATTTTACAAAATATGCATCAATATAACGAAGAACTACTAAGAATATCATGTGAAGATCCAAAATTAAAGTTTAAATTTATATAATTTTGATGTAAGTTAAATTAAATTTACACCGCGCAGTTTAGTTTGTAGCACTTAACATTTTTCGTTACCTCTTTTTTTTTTTTTTTTTTTTTTCACGTTTCATAACAACTGATACAATAAATTTTAAATCAGTTGTCAATATTTACTTGTACATTTAATAAAAAGTATAGTTTATTGAACTAACCATGCGTTATATAAAAGTATACATTACTGTATAGTTTGTTACATTACCATGATACTTTTAAAGATAGAATAAATTACGCATACGTATAATATTGTAATAAACTAACATGCCACCAGTCTCTTATATTAATCGGCGAGACACTATTCAAGCAGCACTTAATGAATTAAATAATTGCTCTCCTAATTCTAAACGTCCAAGTGTTAATAGTGTTGCAAAAAGTTTTGGGATTCCAGAAACTACTCTTCGACGTGCTGTAAAAAACGATGGTCCTCTTAATCGTTCAGGCCCACCAACTATACTTACTGAGCATGAAGAAAACCAACTTGCAGGTTATTGCATTAATGTGCAACGGCTCGGGTTTGGTCTAACAAGATCTGGTGTCAACCATTATGTAATGGAGATCTTGAGACTAAACAAGCGAACACATCCTTTTGGGGATAGTGGGCCAGGTCAAGATTGGTGGGTGCGTTTTATAAGAGACCATCCTGAACTATCGTTTCGTACTTTCCAAGATTTATCAGAAGCACGTGCCCAAAGAGCCAATGCGACTATTGTAAAGGATTACTTTGAAAAACTTAGTAAAGTTATTGATGAAAATTCACTTACTACTACACAGATCTGGAATATGGATGAACTGGCTTCGCCCTTATTTCTAAATCTGAAAAGGTTGTTGTGCGAAAAGGTGCACACCAAGTTCACAAAGTGGTACACGGAAATACTCATAAACATATTTCTGTAGTACCAACTATTTCAGCCGCTGGGTCATGTATACCACCTTTATTTATCTATAAAGGTGTTCGTACAATCCCAGGTCTATTAGAAGATGCACCTCCCGGAACCATCATGGGTTTCACAGATACTAGATACATGCATGAGGATCTTTTTCAAATGTATCTTAACCATTTCATTAATTTTATCCCACCTACCCATCCAGTTCTATTGATACTTGATAGTTACAAAAGTCACATTAACTATATGAGTGTTAACTTTTGTCACAACAATGATATCCTTCTTTTCGCATTACCACCTCATACAACACATGTTTTACAACCTTCTGAGATTCCATTTGCCAAATTAAAAAATGAGTATGGTAAAGCAAGTGATAAGTATCATAATGACAATAATGGCAAAATAGTTACAAAGCATACCTTTGCAAAGATTCTTGGTCTCATTTTTGCAAAAACTTATACGCCACTAGCTATTTGTAATGCCTACAAAACGACTGGGATATGGCCCTTTAATTCTAGTGCAATTGGTGATGATCGTTTAGACCCTTCTTTAGTGACTAAACAGTTTAAAGATTTAACTTTAGATAATTTGCCTTTTGTTCAGCCGACTGGTATGACTCTAACATCACCACCACCTGCACTAACAAGTCATT